TATCTCACTTCTTTTGAAAGATATCAAAAAGTGGTTAACTAGTAAAATGTTTATCAGGATATCAGCAACATTTTACTAGTTAGCCACTTTTTGATATCTTTCACAGAAAATGAGATATATAGGCTCAAAGTGGACGATCGGGGTGTCGTTCTATTAGAGGTTTTACGGTATTATACAAAAACGGATTTTTCAGTTGATTCCGGCCTACCCAACTTTAAAGATAATTTTCAGAATCCTCTTCTCTCTCCTCTCGAAACGCTCCAGATCAATTTCTAAAAGCATTCGTTGGAATGTGTTGAATATTCGTTTGGAACTCGGGTATAACCATCGAATTCGTTTAGGGACCCACACAGACGAGGCCCATGAATGGATTATTGATTGCGTTGAGGGGAATGAAACATTGGTGTATCCCTATTTCAATTCTAGGCTGATTCGTTCAACAGCAAGTCATTATTTAGCTTTGAAGAATGATGAAAATGGTATCGAAGACTTCAAAAGGATGGTGGAGAATATCTGGGAAATGTTTCCTTCGTCAGTTTGCGATATGGAAATCGATAAGCCATCACTTATTGAATGGATCATCAATGTTCAACCAACAATTCGATGTGTTTATATTCGTAGTAATGTTATCACTTCTTTCGAAACGTTGAACCTTCTTTTCAAAAGTCTTAAAGTGACGCAATATTTCTGCTTGACCGAAAATCGTAATTACGGAACCAATTGCATATCGCTCGGTTTCAATTGACCACTGTTGTCTCACTTTACCTGCAATTCTCAATGGGACCAATTCTATCATTGTGTCGAGTGGTTCAGAGTTACTACCAACAGGTATCAACACTGTTTTGAAGGAATGGCAGACGGGAACCAAACTTCAAAATCTGGAATAACTGCGGATTGACACCGACACATATCTTGACCCTGAAAGATGGTACAATGAGATGTATTTGGATTTGAATTTGCAAAATGATGAAAACGATGGAAGACCTAGGACAGTGTAAGATGAACAGAGGCTTTTCAGAAAAAGCTTATCCTTATTTTCAGAAAGATCCGTGATGACTATATATGCCAGCCACGATAAAAGGGCACCGTATTCAATCTAATCAGAAGCGATGGAAAGATTGGATCAATTTTTGGAACCATCACCGCGCACTCAATGAGGATGACACGTATTCGTTTCAATTTCCAAGTGTGGAGTAAGCAAACCTGGCCCATACTCCCGGGGTACATCAGAATGGGGTACATCGGGGGTACATCGTGCTCATGGGGTACAAAGTCTCAGGGGGTACATAGTCTCATGGGGTACATTTTAGGTATAATCTCATGGGGTACATTTTTCGCTTTCTCATGGGGTACATCTCTGAAATACTCAGGGGGTACATCGCATTGTCTCAGAGGGTACATCGCATTGAATCTCATGTGGTAAACATCAAGTCGGATTCTACAGTTTCAGCGCTCATAGCTGCCTGATTTTTCCAACATTCGTTACATATTATGAGTGGTTTTTTTTGTTTTCCATGTAGTTATTCAAGAATGTAATTTCGCTTTTGATGTGGTTTGGAACAGAGATAACTGTCCAACATTATTTCTTCTCATTCATAATTCAGAAACATTTGGCTGATTGAAGAAAAATTGCCTATTGCAAGATATTCGGAGATTTCGGCAAATTCTCTTATACAACCATCTCTTATACTACTTTTCTCTTATACTACCGAGTCTCTTTTACTACCACTGTCTCTTATACTACTTTTTTTCAAGTGTGTCTCTCATACTACCAAGTCTCTTTTACTACCAAGGTCTCTTATACTACT